GGTTGCACAGTACGGAAGATCTCTTTGAATCACAGCACTGCCAGGAGCCAAAATCCGCAAGCACACGGTCACTCCTGGGTCAATACGCTGCCGGTCTGTCATCACACCTGTTTATTTACCCTGCATTTGAGGAGACTGAACAACCCCCAAAGCAGTGACACACAAGGCTGTTGTGCGTATGGGCCTCAAGCCATGACTAATTCTGCACAGTACGGAAGATCTCTTTGAATCACAGCACTGCCAGGAGCCAAAATCCGCAAGCACACGGTCACTCCTGGGTCAATACGCTGCCGGTCTGTCATCACACCTGTTTATTTACCCTGCATTTGAGGAGACTGAACAACCCCCAAAGCAGTGACACACAAGGCTGTTGTGCGTATGGGCCTCAAGCCATGACTAATTCACAGCACTGCAAGCAGAAGCTCTTCTCCTTGGATTGCTGGCTTGACTCCCCTCTGACCTATTTATCAGGGGAGTCTCAGAATGCCCTCCGAATCCACTGGCTGCTTGTGGTTCGGGCCCTTCAAGAACTCCCAGGATTCAATGATGCAAGAAAAAAAATCTCTTTTCCCCTGAAAATCTTTCTCCTTGGGTTTTGAAGGGGACGTCCTGCTGTTGTAGCAGGCCCCCGGGCTCTGGAGAGAATAGGAATCACAGCAAGGCATCTCTCTAGCATTATAATGTTTTCTTGTTGGGGTAGGGAGGTTTCCAGCACGTGGGAGGCACATGAAGTCTCCCGGCTGCATCGGCCGCAGAGCGACTGCTCTCTCTCCTTGCCGACAAACGGTGCTTTGCCAGGGTGATTGCGTTTTGCTCTCCTGCCCATCTCTACTCCTGTCCCAAACTCCTGCTGGCATGGCCTAGTGCAAGGGCATGGATGGTAGGTATGGAAAGCATTGGCTTCCCAAACTGCCTTCCCCATGCTCCGCTGGAGGCCTCCAGACCCGCTCCCCCAGCCTGCTGTTGTGATGCCAGAGGCTGGGGCAGGAAAGCTGGGGGCTGGGCCACCTGTCCTAAAGGGACAGGGACCACTGGGGCTGGCAGCTCGGCTGTGGGGAGAGCCTTGCTGGTCAGGGGTGTGGGCAGCACGGCCCCAGCCCTGTGCCATGCCTGCTGGCCAGCTCTCCAGACCGTCAGAGCTGGGGCAGACTGACACTGCACGGCCTGCGAGCGCTCTGGGGCCAGGGGTGGCTGAGGGACCACTGGAGCTGGCAGCTCGGCTGTGGGGAGAGCCTTGCTGGTCAGGGGTGTGGGCAGCACGGCCCCAGCCCTGTGCCATGCCTGCTGGCCAGCTCTCCAGACCGTCAGAGCTGGGGCAGACTGACACTGCACGGCCTGCGAGCGCTCTGGGGCCAGGGGTGGCTGCTGCCGTG